GAGCAACAGGCCGCAAGTGACCCGCTGGAAATGCCACCGCCCTGCGGGAAGATTCCGCGGCCGTTTGCAGAAGCCTGTGTGTACAATATGAAAGGCCGCTCTCAACTCCCCACCTTTAAAGCTAGTGCTACGTCTGGACCTTGTAAATGTAAAGAGGTTGCCCACGTGTGATAGAGGTAAACTGTGAGGTCTGTAAATGCCCTTTTTAAAACTCAGAAATATCTTCTGGAAGGGACTTTGAAATGGACTTTTTAGACCAGCTCTAGGAGGGACACTTGTCCACGTTTGTCCAGTGGGTTAGAGGACACGGAGAAGCCTTTGACGGCGAGTTGGAGGAGGTCCTGTGCCAGATATTTTTTGTGTAAAAGACCTTTTTCATAAAATAACGATTGTTTTGTGTGCATTTTATCCCTTATTACTATATATATATATATATATAGTACTTGTTTTGAAATATCTAGACTTTCTAGATGTTCTAAAGTGCCTGATATATGTTAAAAGTAGAAATGGTAAAATACAGCACATTTTGTAAATTATCTTATGAAATGATTTGGGGGGAAATAGCCAAACCCCCTGTTGAGTGGTGCAGATTGTGAGCTGCTCCTCAGGAGCACCATGCCAGTGTGGCAAGGGTTGTTCCTGGGTCCATGGGTTTTGTTTTACTTTGCTCTGTATGTTGTGTATATAAAGGACAAATGAGTCCTAATCTAGTCATTTCTGGATGTTAAAGAGGGTGCAGTATATGACAAAACAAATTGTGTATATTTTGCGTTAAAATTCCTAGGGAAGATTCTCTTCTGAAAATTTGAACATTATAGCCCACTGGGTCAGTGAAGGGGCAGAGTACTCACATTTTGAAGACATTTTCAAATTAGAACTATTGTTACATGTGTGCAGTTTATTCAAGATTATCGTGTACACAGTGAACAAATTGAGTTCTTACTTGAAACTTCTAGTCTGTCTAGATCTTTAAAAATGCCCTCTGTATGTTAAATATAGAGGTAGTAAAATTTCACTTTTGTAAATATCTTTTTGCTAAAACTCATATGAAATATTGTCTTTTGGGAATGGAACTGTGAAACCACCTCTGTGAGCAGTAGAGTACTGTCTGTACATGTTGAGTGATGTGGAGGAGGGCGGGAACAACTGCAAAGGGAAATGTGTTAGTGTGTTCATACTTAGACATGTTCAGACATCAGTTTTCTGCATGTTTTGTGTACTGTGTTTTGCTGTGAATCTAGTATCTATGATGGACAAATGAGTCCCAATTTTGCAACATCTAGTCTCTAGATGTTAAAGAGTGTATGACCAAGTAGTTAGTAAAATTAGCACATTTTGTACATTTTCTGTTGAAATTCATAGGAAAGCTTGTCCTCTATAAATATAAACTTTTGGATATGAATTTGTTCGACGCATTACATATGCTTCTACTTGTCCACTGCACTGAAAGAAGAGAAAAGAAAGTGAGGATGGAAAGGTTCAAGGACAAAATGTTAGAAGATACCTCTGATTATAGCCATTGTTACATGTGCAATTTTATTTACCAGTTCTGGGTGCATCATGGACAGGTTCTTATGTGGAATATCTAGTCCTATTTAGAAGTGCTTGATGAACTTAGAAGTAGTAGGATGAATCTTTTTGTAAAAAGCTTTTAAAAACTGATGGGAAATACTGTGTTTGGAATTGTTAAACCACCTCTGAACAGAACACTCTCTGTACTTGTTCACTGGGTTGAGGGAGGCAGGAGGGAAGTTGCAAAAGGTGTTTGGTTAGAGTGTGCTAGACAATTTCAGCTTACCCATTGCCCTGCAATGTGCATTTCATTTGTCTTTGCTGTTCTGTATATATTGTGTATATACTGGACAAAGGAGTCCTAATTTTATAATATCTAGCCTTTAGATATTAAAGAGATTGCCATTGCATAACAAAAGTAGAGTTAGTAAACTAACATATTTTGTACACTTTATGTTAAAATTCATAGAAAGGCAGTCTTCTGAAAAGTCCTTTCGGAAGTGAAATTGTAATATCACATTATATGACACTCAGATATGACACATGTGACATTGAAAATAGAAGTGGAAGAAATGAAGGATTCTAGGCCAGAATTATCCTACTTAGAAGACACTTTCAGATATAACCATTGTTACATGTGTGTAGTTTATTCAACACTACTGTGTACTTAGTAGACAAATTTAATTCCTTATTTGAAATATCTAAGATTTGTAGATGTTTAGAAGTACCCAAAGGATGTGAAAAGCAGATGTAATAAATGAAACTTTTGTAGACTAAAAAAATATATTGCATATTCCAAAACAAGAGAATATAAAAACACCAAAGTTAACACTGAAAAATAAAAAATAAAATCCGTCTCTATGGAGATATCCCACCATCACTACCAGTATATGTGTCAAAGTGACAAAATAGCCAAGACAATTTTGCCATCATGAGTGAGGGAAGGAGACACTACAGACATCAAAGGGTATGATAAAAATGTATACAAAAAAAGTAAAAGGATTCCAGGAATAGGCTAACCCATGAAACAAAGGTCTTCTTGGGCAACCAGTGAATATTTAATGAGCACTTACTGAATACCATAGGAAACAGCATTTCAAAATATGTGATCTGAATAGTTAAAACATAAATAATGCAGGACTCTGAGAACCTGGGCTACTACTGATCTCTTTTTAGAAAAATCCAAGTAGCAGGACATCCTGGGGATCCATATTGTAAATGTTTACCATCAGACTTACATGGACAGATGAAATCTCAAATGTATCAATACCTGCCCTAACTTTGACAACTTTATTTTCCCTGATGACCCCTCCAAAGTAGATAGTAGTGGCAGATATATGTTGGAAATGAGTGTGGGGGTGTTCTATTATATAGTTCCAGAAGCTACTGCATTTGTATCCCAGTGGCTTCCCTCCTCCTTATCTGGTAATAGGTAGCATAAATAAGCAATGGGAAACTGACTTCACCCAGATTATCAAATACCACTTTATGCTGAGCAAAGTGATTTCTGATTATACTTTCATTGTCATTATACTATTATGTCCTCATGTTTTGAAGGTAGATGAGTTTATCCTTTCACAATAATTTACAGGGTCAGTAAGAACCACCCAAAGCAGAGCTTGGATTTGGAGGTTGATATGATTTGAAATTCCCTTTCTATAGTGACATAAATGAAACTTAAGTTGTATGTAAACTACACAAATTATACTTGAAGCATCATGGGTGTGGGGACTGAGGAGCAAGCCCAGGACCTCATGCATGTTAGGAAAGGGCTTTACCACTGAGCTATTCCTTCAGGAAAAAACTTTTAATGGGTAGAAAAAGAAACAGAGAAGGACACTTCCTATATAGAGGGAATGACAATTGATATCACTATGATTATATTATCATTATTACAGTTACCATCTATCCAGCCTTGCTTGGTTTTTCATACTTTTCTTTTTTTGAGGAAAATAAAATCTGTCTTTCTGCACAGAAATTGGTTCAAAACTAAGGCCTGACTTACAGTCCTATACCCCATAGCTAAAATGATTGGTTGAGAAATTGGAATGTCACTCTATCAGGGATTTCTCCAGATGGTTAAACTGGAGTTGACATACTTGAACTCTCGCTATTCAGGGGATAGGCTGGAAGTCTGAGATGTTCCTCTACATACCCATATTTCCAGAGGAGAAAATAAGAACTATCAGGAAAAGCAGTACTCAGACAAACACAGAGAGCACAAGCAAGAGAGAAAGAAACACAGGCAAAGACGGATAAAGAGAGGCAGAGAGATAAACACAAAGAGAGAATGCAGACAAGGAGAAAGATAATGGTCTATAGAAGGACAGAAAGAAATGATCATGTGCACCATGAGCACAGGCCAGTGAACTGATTGAGGAAAAATAAGAAAAAAGAGACAGCAAGACATTCTAATGCAGGTAAGAAATAAAAGACGTGTGAGAGAGAAGTTCATGGAGGAATGCAAACGAAAGAAAGTTACAAAAACCATCTAATATATTAACAGAGAGAGGATCCTTCAGATAGACAGAGATACAGAAAAATGCATGATAATAAAGAGACAGCCAGGCACAGTGGTGCACACCTGTAATCCCAGCTGCATGGAGATATAGGAGGCTGAGGCAGGAGAATTGTGAGTTCAAAGACAGCCTCAACAACAGTGAGGCACTAAGCAACTCAGTGAGACCCTGTATTTAAATAAAATACAAAATAGGAATGAGGATATGGCTCAGTGGTTGAGTGCCCCTGGGTTCAATCCCTAGTACCAAAACTAGATAGATAGACAGACAGATGAAGAGATACAGAGTAGAAAAAGAAGCACACTGAGAGAAGAGAGTAAAGACAGGAGGAAAAAGTCAGAGAGAAAGGAAGGAGTTAAGAGACAAAGGAGAAAAGAATCTCAACTTAGTCCTTGATCTAAGCATTTTTCAGAAGCCAAATGAATTTATGAACTTTTAAATTATATGCCAAAAAAAATATTTTTTTTCCTTAAGACGGTATTAGTAGAGTTTCCATCACATTCAATCAACATATTACTTTCTAATAAAACTCCCACTGGCAATTATATAATCTGGTAGTTCAGATGCAACCCATAATCATTGTCTTTTTCCTCTGTGTACATAGTCAACAATGCCAGATGACATTTGTGGGGCGAGGTTGGCTAATTTATAGTGTTAGGTGTTGTTAGGTAACATGATGGCACAAAATAATTCCAATGCCTCAACTATGTAAAACGTGTCAGGCTGCAGCAGAATCCAAGAAATACTGCTGCACACAACCCCACTTCCAAGCCCCAGATAGTGGACAATTGAATGTTTTCATACCTTTTCACATTCTTATATGGCACCTGAATTAGACCAGGTATGGGGACCCATGACTTCTCCTAGTCTGCTCCCCTTTGGGGCTTCACTGAACTAGCCCTCTAGAATCTGGTCTTTTCTGTGCCAGTATCTCCCACCACCACTTTTACTCAATCAGAATCAGAAACACAAGGGACTCACAAATCTATTTAATTTTGAAAAAATATACTGAAAGATAAAGGAGTTTGACATGTAATTCATGGGAAGTCTTCAGACAGAGGACAAGATCAGGAACATGTTGAAAGTACTCGTGGCCCAAACAGATGTGGCAGCAGCACAGGGAGCAGAGTTGGGTGGAAAGCAGTCACAGAAACTCAGGAAAGACCAGAACAAGAAGAGGGCCAGGGGCCTGGGGTTTTGGCCCAGTGGTAGAACACTTGACTAGCATGTGTGAGTCACTGGGTTCAATTCTCAGCACCACATATAAACAAATGAATAAAATAAAGACCCATCACAACTAAAAATTGTGTATGTGTGTGTGTATGAGTGTGCAAAAGAAGAGGGCCTGGCATCTGCTGCTCAGGCACTTTGGGACTCAGGTCTTGATGGGGGACAGGGCTGGCAGAGGTGGATTCCTCACAGGCCTGAGAGAAGGGAGGCTAGGAACTTGCACAATGGTGAAGACAGCAGTAGACCATGGAACAGTGGTAACAGGAAGAAAAATGTTGGAATCTGTGCATGATCCCTGAAGGAAAGAGAAAAAATAAGTCATAAGTTAAATCCCTAGAGAAAGTCAGCCCCCTACCCAATACCCCTGGGGCCTCTCTGCAACTCGGAACACTAAGGGTGATTTTGTACAACCACCCACTCCTCACCATCTCTCCTGGTATCTGATTAAAGAGGATATTGTGCTAAAGTGAACACAAAGCTTCTGCAGAGGCATGTGGAAGAAGGCCCCAGTCCCATCAGCAGTCTAAGTGTTTTGGTGAAGCACAGGTCACATAGTTAACTGGACAGGTAAGAACTGTAACCTCCTGTCATCTCACCTAACATCCAGCTCAGCACAAGAAAGACTCATGGCCTCCCAAATTTCTGCAATCTACTTCTATCCCTAGTTTGGCTCCCCCTTTTCACTGAGATAAGAAAAGTTACAACAGAAACACTTAGTCCTAGAGCCAGTCTTGCCCATTTTCTCTAAAGGTGACTTACCTTTCTTATTGCAAAAGTAGACACTAAGGCCCAAGCCAAGAAAAATCAGTTCCAGCACAAGACTCCCAATTCCATTCAGCATCTTGTTCTGGGCAGATTCTGACAGTGCCCCTGTGAAGTAGAAGCCTGTGCATCAGTGACTGTCCCCACATCCCACAGAGTCCTCATCAGGAAGTCTGGAGACCAACCCAAGATATAAGAGACAGAGGTACCCCACTACCAAACAGAGGAGGGTGAAGGGCATGAAGAGACCCCAGGAGAACAGTGGATGGATGAGGATTTAGGGGGAAAAGGTAGAATGGATCCTCAGGGTAGGTCCATCTGAAAATCCACAGACCATCCCCAAACACCAGCCTTAATGTCAAAGCCCAGAATTTCACCACTGCAGGAGATATACTGCCCAGCCAAACCTCAGCCTGGGGATCAGGTTATATAAAGCAATAATATCTTGGAAAGAAAGGAGGTCAGTACTCAGCATCTGCCTTTTAACTTCAGATCACAAGCCTCCATGACTCTAGGCTCAGAAATGACACTAGGGGTTGTGTAGGAGAGAAGGTATGAATGTGTCCAACAGCAGAGGAAAGAAGGACCCCAAGCCCACAAGACCCAATGTCCTCCCTGCCTTTGCTTCTTTCTGCTGAACCTCTGGTATCAATGAAGTGGCCCTTATACCATTCTACAGTGATGGGGCTCTGGAGGCTGGGGTGCGCCACGTGGCTAGTGTAGACATCTCCATGCTGGGGTATTACTTCCAACATCACAAGAATCTGGTAGGTCCAATCCCCATTCTGAATAAGTGGTGTGGACACAACTCCAGAAGTCTCTTCCTCTTTATTCTGGAACCATCTGACTTTAACTTGTTGAGGATAATATTTGTCACTGAGCAGATCAGCAAATTGTGGTGGCTTTTTCCTGGCTGGAGAGATGGTGACTATAGGCTCCACTAGGATGAATGACAGCAAAAAATAAAGTCAGAGAATGAGGCAGCATAGTGGGTCTCAACATGGGCTTAAGTCCCTCCTTTAATATGAAAGTGGAGAAAACAGTAGATATTAGTGTTCACAAATACCAAAGGTTTCACCCATTTGTGGAATATTTTTTTAAAAAGTTGATCACATAGAAATAGAGGGTAGAATAGAGGTCACCACAGCCCAGGAAAGGAATAGTGAGATGGTGAATAATGGGAATCAAACATACTTGGAGGGGAGCACTTTTAATGTTATACAGCTCAACAAAGGATAGTCTACAATAATTAATTACACACTTTGCAAAAACTAGAGAAGAAGAGTTTGGGTTGCCAGTACACACAAATGATAATATTTCAGGAAGTGGAAATGCTGATCTCCCCAGTTTGATCATACCACATTGTGTTGAATTACAACAGTGTACCTCATAAATAAGTACCAATATTATATGTTGATTTTTAAATGAAAAAAATAAATTGAATGTCCCTTTTATAAATATATAGGTCAGCAATGCATATACCATTATGGTCCCTTAAGATTATTCTGACTAATGATGTCCTAGTTGTCTTGCTGTAAGTACAGTCTGTGATTTTCACAGAATACAATTAACTAACAATGTTCTCCTCCTCTGTATTTCCCCACGATGTTGTGCTACTTCACCAGGGGCTCAAAATCAGTGCTATCAACCAACCATGGACTAAATTGTGAATCAAAATAAACTTCTCCTCTATTTAAGTTAATTATCTCAAGCACTGTATTACAGTAACTCAAAGCTGACTAATACACTCTTCCAATGCTGCCTATCAAGTATTTCAACAGTTTTTCCTTCAATTCAAATGCCCTCCCAATTTTACCAAAATCCTAGGAATCCCAAAAGTTGCTTTCCCCACAGGCCTTCCACACTAGTTCAGAGGTGTGCGCACTTTGATCAGTCCTAAACTAACCTCTCTGCTGAACAGTGAAGGAAGATGTCTATTAATAGTGGTGTCTGCACAAGGTGTCTACATGGGCCTGATACTCAGCCAGGAGGTCCTTCTGGGCATTCCAGCTCTTGGCACTTGACATCCTCTGCTCTGTTACAGCCACAAACACCCCCACATCACTGTCAAAGCACAGGATCTCCTCCTTATTGTAAATTTGTCTGGCCATGCGCCTCACTCGCTGAGTCCTATTGGTGAAGTAGCAGGTGCCCTTAAACTGGTACATGAAATCCTGTGCAGGAGAACCAGGCCACATTAGATTTAGCTCAGGCTGTGTTTGGTTTAGGGAGACACAGGGAGTAAAGGAACATGACAACAAAGACCAGTGACTAAATAAAATCTGCTCTAAACCCTCAGAATTTTATTCCCAGGATGAATGAAGTGATTTCTCTACCTCAAATCCTGCATTGATCATTTATTGGATAAAATTAAAAATGTCAAACAAGGAAGATCATGGAATAATGTTTGGAATACAGAAACAAAATTGCCAGCATTTTCATATGCTGGATCAGTAAATAACCAAAATCCTAAATAATCCACTAACTAAAAGAATTTAAAGTAAGGGAGAGTTCAGCAAATGGCTGGATACAAGATCCATTTTTAAATGTTTTACATATAGATGAGCAACAAATGTGAAATATAATGTGAATTACATCATTTATAATGGCATGAAAAATTATGAAGAAATCTTATAAAAATATACAAGAATTCTAAAAGGGAAACCATGAAATTTATGAGATACATCAAAAGGGTCCTAAGTAAACACAAAGATACACCTGTACATGAATTGGAAGACTGAATATTATGAAGAGGACATTATCTCAAATGGTCTTATGTATTCTGTGGGTATAATTTAAAATTCCTACCAATTTGTGATTACTCAAAATTTACAAGCTGATTCTAAAATGCAATAAAGGTTCATAAGGCAAAGATGGTAATTAAACACCATATTTTGGATACAGACATAGATAAATAAATGGCAATAATGTATTCCAAAATAAGTTTCATGCATCCATTTAGACTAAATATATTACAAGGGTGGCACACAAGGTGGTCAGTGAGGAATGAATACTTTTGTTAATAAATGATTTTCTAATAAATGGGAATACATCAGAAGGAGCAGAAGAAATTGGGCATACTTCTTGCACCATATGTAACATAGACCTAAGTATGAATGAAATGCTACAAATCTGTTAGGAGATAAAACTAGAGAACATTTTCATGATGTTGGAGTTGTGGAAGATTTCTTAAATCATTAAAAGCACTAGACATAAATAAAAAAGATTGATAAATTCAATTCAATAAAAGTAACAGCTTCTGCTCATCAAGAAATATCATTAAAAGACTTACACAAGGCCAAAAGTACAAATATTTTCAAAGCACATACTGATGATGGGCTTTATTTGAAATATATTTTTTATCTTTTTGAAATAAATGAGAAAAAGATAAATATGGAAAAGAATAGAAGTTCCCATAACACTACACACTCACCAGACAGGGAAACATTAAATAGCCTAAGATACCAAAAGCTGTCAAGAATTGGATTTTCTTTTGAACAGCTCATGAGACAACTATGTGAATAACAGTTGGACTTTGTCTTGTCAAGTTGAAGATAGGCAGACATTGCAATTGAAGTATTTATTTCAGTCTAGAGAAACGCAGACCCAAAGGTTCCAGGATTCCAGGGTACATTTTCTTTTAAGTAAGACCAGCCCAAACATCCATCCACATAAGAACAGGTTAAGTACATTGCTCTGCCCTCATAAAATGGAATATACTACCCAACAATGAAAATGGATGAATATTGCATCAGAGATTTGTGGCAAGTCTTCTCAGACATAATATTGAAAAAGGAAGCAAGACAGAGCACAGCATTTATAGAACATTTAGAGGAGGAAATATTAATCTATATTGTTTAAGGATACATTCTTATATATGCTAACTGTAACAATGAGCAAAACAAATTAGGATTAAAAGAATCACAATAGAACTTACTCCTGGAATGTGAAAATGGGTACTGTTGGAAAGGAGTACACAGAAGTCATTTGGAGAATTGGTAATATTCACATATGTTCAACTTGATTAGAGGTTATTTGGATACTTCTTTGTAATTTTTGTTATGTGTGTGTGTGTTAAGATGTCTGTTGTGTTATTTTCCTAATAATTAGTTAAAAATACACTATAATAATACATACCCCGGAGTCATCAATTTGTATCTGTGTGTGTGTTTTAGAAAGACCAGGTGAGACAGTTGATGTAACACTATCACTACAGGCTTGGGATTTAATGGGTGCAAAATAAATATCAATTTTGGAGTTTTTTATTCACCATTGTCATAGCCCCCATACACCATCAATACTGAATCAAGGCCCTAATTAACCCAGAATTAGTAACTGCCTGTCCTTATCCCATTCTTCCTCCCAAGTCCCACAGTGTCATCTCCATGACCCCACTGCTTATCTCCAAGGAATGGGTGATTAATTATGCTCTTCAGGTATTGAAGCTCCAGAGACTATAGCTCTGGTCTGAATTTGTCTGATCCCAAGCCCCTAAATAGATGAATACTATTGGGCCCAGAAAATCCCCAGAGTGGCCAGTTCTTTTAACTTACCTGATGCTTCTCAAGTACCTCATTTGCATTTTGTACTGTGTCTGGTATAGAAATGTACTTTGTCTTTTTCTTCCAATTCTGAGATCCCAAAGTCCTTTAGAGATATTAGGCTCCCTTCCACTGCAGAGGTTGAAAAAAGGAATCTAGCAAAACTCTAAGAAGGAGAAATCAGGACTCTTGTAAGAGTCCTTCCAAATTCTACCTGTGGTTTGTTGAAAATACAACAGACCCAAGCTTAGGCTCCAGAGCCCCCAAGAAATTATTTCCAAATCTGGGCTCTGAATAGCAGCTGTCCTGCACTTACTTGGGGAATCTCTTCTGTTAGCCAGGGGAGTCCTCAGCACCATGAGAACCACCATCACAATTCCAGCTTTTATCCAAAGGTTCCTGGGGATTATCACAGTCATCTTTTCAAACTTGGAACAGAAGCAATTTAACAAAAGCACTTGGCTTTCAGCACAACTGCTACCAATTGACCTGAAATTTCACTTCACAGAGATGAAAAGTAGGAAATCTCCTATGAATTTTAGGATTGGACAGTTCCTAAGGAAGAAACCAATCAACCCTATGACTTAAGTCTTCATTTATCTCTAGGTAAACATTTTTAATGGAAGTTCTCAACTCAAAAAAAATATCTATTGTTGAATACACCACCAGTAAACACCACATCATGTACAACCTCAAAGTGGGATCCTAATTAGAATAAGTTATACCCCATGTATGTATAATATGTCAAAATATACTCTGCTGTCAGGTATATCTAAAAAGAACAAATTAAAAATTAAAAACTAAATAAATAAAAAATAAAACCAAAAAATTGTAGAAACATTATCCATTGATCATTTGCTAGGTGTCTAGTGGTAGATCATCTTCAAATATCATTGAACTTTGTAAAATGCTGAAGATATGTTAGGAAGATTCAGAACCAAGAACATGACTCAAGGCATGTCTTCTTGTGACATTTATTTAAATTCTGTTTCTGATGTTTGGGGTTTGATGGTGGCTAAGGATGCCAGAGGGCAGGAAGAAGTGGAATACTATTCCTTGGGACATAAAATTATTATCTAAGAGCTCTTCATTTTTCCCTCTAGACTTAACACTACAAGAACTAAGATACAATATGAAAGGAAACAGATTATAAAGAAAATGTATTTGTATCACGGTTGAAGAATTTATTGATTTTTTTACTCTGGACAGATTAAATAATCTCTATTAGCCTCAGTCATTGT